CTGCATTGAGCATTCCAGCAGCAAACTTTTCCACCGAGAGCTCTGCTGCCCGCTCACTTAGACGGGTCCAGAACGCAGTCAGACTCCGAAGTTATGCTGTTACGTACAGCAGCTGACTTTGTGCTGCTTCTTTTGTTTTTGTGCTTAACAGCACCTTCATAGGTTGTGTTAGGGTCAGAAAGAGCGGGACCCTCAAATCGAGTGAAGCTGCCTGTTCTCAAGAGGAACTGAAACATAATTTATCACCAAAGACTATAAATTCGGAAGTTTAAAGGCCTTTTTCAATAGGAAATGCATCAACAGAATAGAAATCTACACTTAAATATTTTAATACAGCAATTATGCAACTTACTGGCTGACTGAATTTTGCATATGTAAAATTAAGCATTGTGTTCCTGGGAGATTTGTTTGATTGTAAACGATTTTTTCTTTATTTTTTTTACCCATACGGAAATGTAATAAATGATATATATTGTCTTACATCAAGAGTGATTTCCATATATATTACCTATAGTACATATATGATTTTCACATTTTCACATATGTACATTCTCTGGGTAGATGAAGATAAAAGTTTATAACACATGGAATCCCCACAGTAAAATCTGTATATGTCTATTTGTTAATAATATTTATATGATGATTTTAAATGGCATTTTATGTAGCAACCATATATGTAAAAAATATATATGCAACTTTATTAACACATCAATCATATATATACAAAAATCTGTATGTTAATATGTTTTAATATAAAAAAATCATCTATCTTTTATATTTACTTATATAATATCAACATGTATTGACTGGTTTTAGGATGGATATCATGTACATACATATATATATATATATATATATATATATATATATTTTTTTTTTCATCAATCATAAAAAAAGAATTAATACAGGAAAAACCAAATATAGGTGAAGTAATAATAAAAATAAATGTTGTTATGTTTTACTATTATTGTGCATACAAGTCTCATTCTTTTTAAATTACAAAATAACATGAAAATAAATATGATTGAATAATATACAAAATATAAAATGCAAATGAAAATAAAAAATAAAAATAAAGACAAATAATATACAGAAATGTAATATCACATTTAATAGAGCACAATAAATATGGCTGAGCAAATTTACGGACCTCATAAATTAGATTGAAGAAAGTAATGAGGTATAAGTACACAACACAATGTCTGAATGGAAATCAAACAGCACTACATGAAATACTAACGCTGATCATTTCTGCAATGGTTGCAGTGGCAGAACTGACATACACGCCACACTAATTGGTTGTTTATGTTGTGTGTGGTTAATTTGGCTATAGATATACAGTACAGTTTGAAAACATTTCATCAAGTATGTAATCAGGATCTAGGACCAGGATCTAATTGCTACAGAAAATGAGTAAACCACTGTGGTAAATTAGCCTCAACAAAGAAAGAGGCTTAAATTAATGAAATATTCACTAGCAGTGTTTCATATGTTCATTTGCTAACCAGCAGCAGTTTCCTCCTGCCTGCAGGAAACCTTCCTCTTTCTCTACAACCGTTCACTTTCCCTGAAATCACCCAGAATAAGTGATTAAAAACCAGACTAATGTGGTCTGCTGGTCTTAGCTGGTCAGCCAAGGCTGGTTTTAATTGATAGTTTTGATAGTTTTCAGGTCTGCCTGGAAAAAAATGTCCAACAAAAACAGAAAACCACCTTGGGCTGGTTTAAATAGTTTGTTTTTCAACATTATGGAGACATTTCTTTTTGGGTGAACAGCTATAAACTGAAGCTAAAACTAAAACAAACAAAAAAATCACTTTAAATAAAATACAAACAAACTGAAATAAAATCTAAAAAAAAACTTTTTTATTTCAGCTAGTTTCAGCAACATTTCTCATTCTATCTATCTACAGTGGTGTGAAAAATATCTATCTATCTATCTATCTATCTATCTATCTATCTATCTATCATCCATCCACCCATCTCTATATTTAAAACTTTAATCTTTAAAAATGAAAACAAAAGAAAATAAAAATAAAAGCTGCTTCATAATATTATAATATAATATAATAAAATGTATGTTTTACTTGACATAAAATAATGAACTGAAATAAAATAAGATAAAATAAAATATAACAACTTTTTATTTCAGCTAATTTCAGCAACATTTCTCATTTTATTTTAGTTAAACTTGATGTACTAAAATACATAAAACTGAAATAAAATGTAATACATACACAAACACTAAGAATGACAAAAACACACAACAAAATTATAAAAAACTACATTTTAAATTTAAAACTTTAAACTATAAATTAAAATGAAAACAAAAAATAAAAAATTCTTCAAAATATAAAAATAATATAAATACATTATATTAATAATATAATATCATATCATAGAATAGAATATATAAAAATTTATAATAATTTGAATAAAAGATTATAATAGTATCTCAATGATACTAAAATAACACTGGGGTGAAACGTACAAAACCAGTCAAGAATATGATGAAGTCATAATTCATCCCCAAGATTGAAAGAAATATATATTTTTTCATTATTACAAATTTTATTACAATAAGTGCACATTTACACACAAATTGCCAATATCATAATTCTACCATTACTCTGGTGTTAGTACATCGTGGTACTGTCTAAAATTTATGCTCATTTAAACAGAAATATCTTCTAGACTACTAGAGTAATGAGAATCACAATTGTGAATAATGGGAGTTATAAAGAAAACTTAAGAGAAAAGCATTACAGTAATGAGAACTTTCAGAGTAAAATATGCTTAACTGTCATGAAAATAATACATATGCAGAACAAAAATCTTAACAGGCTTCATTTTCTTTATGCACAATATAGTTTCTTATTTCTTCCTTTGGATCTTAGGATGAAAAAACAAGCTGCTCGATTAATGCCGCAAGCGGTAGTGCATTAAACAAATAGTCTCTCTGTCTATAAAAAAATAATATAATAATATATATTATTTAGAAAACACAAGCGAAAAAACTCTAGTACAAGGAAATCTGTAGTGCTGATGTGATTTGTTATCGTGCCCTTGTTTCATTCAGCCCTGGATTTTTTTCAATCCCTGAGGTTTTTCTTCAATAAAGCAGAGCTATAAGAGATTAACTATTTTCAGACATTTTACAGTCAGACAATGGAAGCTTTCAGTAAATGCTCAGAGCACATTTTCCACAGCAGAACATGTTTTATAGGAATCCTCTATTTCTCAAGACACAGATGTCCTGTAGTGGAAAAAAGATTTGCTGTAGCAAAAGTTTAATTCAGTTAACAAACAATTTGGGCGCAACAAACTTTAACAAACTCTCTTCAAGTTGTGTTAGAGTGATCGTTATAAATTTTAAATTGTGAACGTTCGCCTCAGTACATATTTTGTGTACTGAGGAATAGCATTTCCCATAATTCTCCATCCCAGCTAACAGGGAACAATCTCAGAACTCTGGCGAATGTGCTGGAAAAGTTCTCTCAAAGTTATGAACAAATGTTCTTCTTGTAACATTAATAGAACATTCGTTCAAAGTTGTCTGGGTTTTAATAACAAAAATGTAATTGTTACATTGTTCATGTAATGTTTTTTTTTTTCTGAAATTTTTTTCTACATTATGACTACTTGTTTCTACGGAGCCTCGTACATGGCATGCAGGAAAAAAATAGTAGGCTAAATCGTGCGCACGATTTAGCAAATTCGAGGGAACAAAATAGTAATCGTGTGCACGTTTTGGTACATCGAGGGAATGAATTAGAAAATCGTGCGCACAATTTATTTATTTTTTCTTGCATGTCATGTGCAGGGCTCCGTATGTTTCAGAATGTTCAGAGAACATTCAAAAGAAACGATTCCTTAACGTTTTCGTATAACCTTGAAAGCGAACGTTAGAGAAAACATGAAGGGAACGTTCCATTTTATAATTTTGCAAACGTTATGGGAATATTACTTTTGAATGTTGTCTAAACATTCTGAAACAAGGAGTAAGGAATAACATTTAAATATATGTTCTATGAATGCTTTGCTAATGTTCCCATTAAGTTATGAAAATATGTTCTTTAATGTTCAAAATATCAAATTTTTTAAATGGTTTAAAAAGGTTATGTTTGAATGTTCTCTGAAAAAACATTTTCGTAAATTAATGGGAGCATTATTGTGTTCTTAGAATTAAAAAAAAAGTTATTACTTACTAAATGTTTCAGAATGTTTAGAGAACATTCAAAAGTAACGTTCCCATAATGTTTTCAAAATTATAAAACGGAACGATCCCTTAATGTTTTCTCAAATGCTTGCATAACCAAGAACAACGGTTATTTTTGAATGTTCTCTGAAATAGTATAAAAGAACATTTTCATAACTTCATGCGAACATTAGCAAAACATTCTTGGGACAGACAATGCTGGGACAGTAACATGAGATTTTTCAAATACAAGATAAAGCATGAATTTCACACTTAATGCACATCCTTGGTCTTTGTTTCTGATGCGTTGTGTTAAACAAGCTTCCTGGTTTTATCAACAAGAAAAAAAAAGTATGAAATTGTGTCACGTATTCACAATTAAAATAAATTCCGAAACTTCTGAGCTTATGCATGTGAATTTTCCCAGAAAGGCAGCAGTCATGCATATTATCTATGCATGTCAAAAGTCACCAACTCTTTCAAATGATTCACGCTGCAACTGGAGTTTGTTCAAGTTATGCATTATTAAAAAGGCTATGCACTTTGCTGAGCATACAGTACTAGACCATTTGCTTTCAAGTACCATCAACGGAGACACATCGATATTATCCGTCTACGGTGAAGCTCTATGTGAAAACTAGCCTCGGGGAGCGAGAAATGCACGTTCACTTATTTTGTACAGTGGAAAGTCACTTCCTGCAGGGTGTTTATTTATCCTTGACTTTATGCCTTTGTAGATTTACGAATGTTTCGAGAGCACAAAAGCGAGAGCTGCAGAGTTGGAGTGGAATAAGGTACTCACTGAAGAGTAACATGCTGGCATTGGAAGCCCCGAGGCGGTTGGAGGCGAAACAGGTGTAGTTGCCAAAGTGTTTTTCTGTGACGTTGGTGAAGAGCAGCAGGGAACGTGTTTTTTCATTTTTTATCTTCAGCGTGTTATCACTCTCTACCGGCCTGAGAAAGAATTAATACGACAGATCACACGTTAGGGTAGGTGAGTTGTCACGTAAACCCGGTATGTGCTACTGCCCATGGTTCACAGCATCTGTTTCGCTCGCTTACCTTCGGTCATCCCGGTACCATTCAAAGGACGCGGTGGGCACTGCCATAGCTTCACAGCGTAAGATTGCAGTTTTTCCCAGCTGGGCGGGCATGTTCTTTACTTCTGTGATTACTGGTGGATCTAAAGACCAAACAGACAGTGTACTGAAGTTAAAGGTGTCATATGATGTTGCTAAAACGAACATTATTTTGTGTATTTGGATGACGTTGCTAAAAAGAACATTATTTTGTGTATTTGGTGTAATGAAATGTGTTTATGCGGTTTAAGGTTAAAAAATTATTAAAAAATTATTTTCCACATACTGTACATTACTGTACATTATTGTTTCTCCTCTATGCCCCGCCTTTCTGAAACGCGTCGATTTTTACAAAGCTCATCGGTCTGAAAAGCGAGGTGTGCTCTGATTGGCCAGCTATCCAGTGCATTGTGATTGGC